GGGCTCGATCTTTAAAGTTGAGCGCATCGTAGCTCTCCAGTGTGCATAGTTGTTATCGTAATAACGAAGCCCTTTGCTTCCGCATTCTGGGAGACAGTGTATTACCTGAAGATTCGTGACATACACAGTTAAACATACATGCCAGACAAAACGTGAGCCACATGAAACCCCGTCACACAATTCCCATGTCATGCACGACCATCACAAGACATCATGTCACGCAAAATTGAAAGAAGACATCCATGTCACGTACAATTTTCACAAGACATCATGTCACGCACATTTGAAACAAGACACCAATGTCACGTTCAACTGAAACGCAAACACCCATGTCACGTACAATTAAAACAAGACATCCATTTCAACTGGAACGTGAAGCTCATGTCACGTTCGATAGGCACATGGACACGAGATACCCTTATCACGCCGCCGCAAGATATCTATATAACGCACATCCTAACAAGGCCCCCGTGTCACGTACCAGCGTCACAAGACATCCGTGCCACGCACAATCGTCAAACTCCAATTGACTTAAACTTCATACGCCTACAATAGCCATCTATGTATACGATGTTGTTTTAACGAAATACATATTTAATACATTTGAGGATAATATCATCTTGGTAATTGCATTTGGAATGATGTCAGACGCTATTGTAGTTACAGATTAACAGAAGGTGAAACTACGTTGTAATCGAGTACTCTAACCCGCCATCACACTCTTCTCTCCAACTATAGGAATTATCTGAGATGTCAAATATCAGACGTCGAAGATAAAGGTACACATACTACTATTAGTTTTATACGAAACTGATCAAATACACGATAATAATACGTTGCAGTATTCCACCTGCGCTATGTATTGGCAACTGAATTCAGTTAAAGTGAAATACAATACAATTCAGTATAACCTTTGAAGCCAATCCAATTAAACGAAACAATTCCTCTACCAACCCTACTTCGGTGTTCTTTTCAGACACAACAACACGCTCTAACCTTCTGTAATTTGCTCTGCTGGGCCTACACTGTTGATGCCTTACTTTGTGCAGTTATGGCTTTTAAGATATAAATCCCTCGACCCCAGACAAGCTGCCGAGACATTGCTGCTGTTTCCCTCTCCCCCATCACTGGGACCCTCAATCTCCACCCTCAATTTGCTGTGGAATTAACGATCCGGTCACACGGTTTTCCCTCACCGAGATATTTCGTTTTACGACTCTACGTTTCCGATGTGGCTAATTTCATGACCCCATAAGGACGAGCGTTTATCTTCTTAAACCAGAGAGGGCTTATCATTTTTTACTGCTTTTCAATCGTCTTACGTTGTGAAATCCACTGACAGACATTAAGAACGCTGTAAAGCGATGTGACTGACGGTGCCACTATTACCTGGCAGGGGACAGGGCGGTGGAATGACTCCTGTGGGTCTACTGGGGGGGGGGGGGGGGGGGGGGGGGGTTGGTGAACCTCCTCTGTGCCCCACGGCTGTAATAGTGTGTGTCAGCCGACAAATGAACACCGTATGGTCCTGGGACAACGCTATATAGCACATCAATCACAGCTGTAAGAGTCATAGCGCCAAACAGTGCACTCGTATACCTGCAGAAAATATTCTAAAAAAAAGCCCGAGTTTCCAAACATGGCAAGGAAGGAGCTTAGGGTGAGGGATTTGTAGTGAAGCTTGCAATCTTACTTTGTCTTATTTTGTTCTGAAGGATATAATGAAATAAGAATCTTCAGTGATGTGGCACAAGTAGAATAAGCTATGGGTAAGAGGAATTTATGAGGTAACGAATGTGAAAATAAGATGGCATGAAAAACGTTGAAGTTAAATTGTTTGCAAATCCCTGACTTATGTTTCAGTATGGTCGCCCGGAATAGAACGTAGTGTCATTACGAGACAACTGGAACACTAACACGAATCAGAAACAAGACATTGGTAGAGAGGTGTGATCTTTTGGCTCTTGGTGTCAGCAGTGGCATACTCCTTGTGTTTGCTGAGTTCCACTAGGGTGTTATCGACCGGCCGGTCGACCGGACCAACAGTGCGGCTAACTAGCTCACTTCACCCACCTGGTTTGCTGACAAAGCTTCTGATAAACCCTACTCACAACATCATTCTATATTCAGCTTTTTGCATTTTTCCGCTGTAAGCATACAGAGGATCCTCTAGGGCATAGCAGGGGCATGCCCTCAGATGCCCACGAAGTTTTACCATATGGATAATATATACACTAGGCCAGTACCAAGAGAGTTTCTCATACAAATTCCGAATAGTCTCAATGCATTTTTGTACACTTAATATATGTCAAAAAATAAACATCAGGAGAGACAGGTTTTCTGATCAGGACAAGTGTAGTTAATTGGTAATAAGCACATATCTCAGCGTTGGTGGCAACATTCAATGATTTATTATCTGTTTTCCATGGCCGGGACGTAGCTCAGTTGACTCCCCGTGCCGATGGCACAGACTCCTTCACGCCATCGTAATGTCCATACAGAGCTTTACCGAGGAGCTGTCATCTTAGACCACTTTCATCATAAAGAATGGCGCGATTATATTCGAGGTTTTTACATTTTTTGATCCTGCAACACGCATATTTTAAGTTCCGACTTGCATCATGTTTATTCATTATGAGACATTGATTGGCTACAGGCCGTCAGTGTGACGGCCGCTTCATATCCACCAGCCCAATTTACATACCCTGAGCAATGTCGCGTGATGGCCTTCTTTTAGATTTAGTCATTACAACATTGTGAACTTTGCGCTTCAAAAACATATAGCTACGGTTTACAGCCAGTTAAACGTTTTTGCAATACACACAACTCCACAGAAGCAAGTGGATTGCGTAGATACATATTTCACAACTTACCGTAATACATGTTTAGTTAATATATGTAAGTAGATTGATAGATACATAGATAAGCAGACATGTTAGGAAATCATATTCAAATGAACATTCGTAACGTAACAACAACTGTTTATTTAAATAATGGCATGAATCCATAATCCTCGCGGCCAGAAAGGTATGGCTGATGTTGATTCTGATTCGCAAAACATATTCATGATTTCAATCTGGTCCATTCTGGATTATATAGCATACTCCTTGTACCCCATTCTGGACTACTCCAGAATACTTCCGACACTATTAACATTTCTAACTCACAAAACTCAGATATGCATCCATCATACACAGATAACACAGGTAGTTGATCACATTATATGACACATATGGCGCAGTTTTTATGATCAACCAACAGGTTTACTTAAATTACTACAAATAATAACGTATGCAAGCCATGTATGGTAAACACCCTTCGTCGATACAATAGACCTTCTATCTACCTACCTCAAACACAGAACTCACCAAGGCGAAGCGCGCGATGAACATCATGGTATATCATCCGAGGTCAGGGGTCGAGCTTGTATGGTGCGGAAATATATTGCAGGTTTTAGCCTCATGTGGTTTTACATTGTTTTTAGGATCCAGTACCATCCAGTACCACTCTATAAGCACCAAGGTAACGTTATGCCACAATAACATAAAAAAATTCATGTTCTTTGTCAAGCTGGAATATTGCGCTTCACGACATCAGTAGTTATTAAGCGTCAACCACAAGCTGCATCCAAAGGCAAATACGTTTGTTTGTTTGTTTGTTTGTTCGTTGTTTAACGCCGCAATATTTCAGCTATATGAAGGCGGTCTGTAAATAATCGAGTCTGGACCAGACAATTCAGTGATTTACATCATGAGCATCGATCCACGCAACTGGATCGATGGCGTGCATCAACCAAGTCAGCGAGCCTGACCACCCGATCCTGTTAGTCGCCTCTTACGCAAGCATGGGTAGGCAAATAAGTAGCGACAGAGTGACAAGATCATTTGACAGACAGACAGACAGACAGACACACACACACACACACACACACACACACACACACACACACACACAGGCAGACACACAGACAGACAGAAAGACAATTTATTCAGCATAAGTCTACTCGCCCCAAATACGTTTATACGAAAGTTTCCTTCTGAGTACGATCACAATCTATAGATGCAACACTTGATGACAACAACCACTACCAGCCATCTAATGACAGCTGCATCACATAATAGCAAATACCAGGCGAGACCCAGTGATCACAAACACCAGCTGCATCTCGTGACAACAAACACCAGCTGCATCTCGTGACAACAAACATCAGCTGCATCTCGTGACAACAAACACCAGCTGCATCTCGTGACAACAAACATCAGCTGCATCTCGTGACAACAAACACCTGCTGCATCTCGTGACAACAAACACCAGCTGCATCTCGTGACAACAAACATCAGCTGCATCTTCTAATGATAACCAACATCAATCGCACCCAGTGATCACAAGCACCAGCTGCCTCCAGTGACGACCACAAGCACCAGCTGCCTCCAGTGACGACCACAAGCACCAGCTGCATCATATTATAATGACAGACACAAGCTAGATCCAGTGATAACAAACACCAGCTGTATCCAGTGACAACAAACACCAGCTGCCTCCAGTGACAACAAACACCAGCTGCCTCCAGTGACAACAAACATCAGCTACATCCAGTGACAACAAACACCAGCTGTATCCAGTGACAACAAACACCAGCTTCTTTATATGACAATTAATGCAAGTAGTGACTTCGCGACAAAAAACACAGATTAGGGAATGTAGGAAGGCAAGCACCACCTCCAACATGTGCCTTTTAATTGCGATGAATTCCATATGTTAAAGTTTTCACATGTTGCTACTGTGTTAATCTACAGCATACACACGTGAAGTAATTACATCCTACGAATTTCAAATGAGTTTTTCAAAGGTTCTGAAAGTTAATTTTTCCAGAGGGCGAAGTGCGTTCTCCACAGGATAAGCTTTATAATCACGCATGCATATACACTAGCCTCCCACAAAGCAGATTAAACTGGCATTCCACGATCCGAGCCGAGCCTATCTCAAGTGTAGCACGACCAGTCAATGTAGGTAGTCGTATCTCTGTATTCGCACATGCAAGGCTCACAGCGTTTTACTGATACAAACAGTAGATACAGCTCCAAAGTGTCAGTCGGATTACAAAATCTTCACGTCCTTAACTTTATTACCGAGTTATTTTGGATCAATCTTGGTGCATTTTATGGTCGTTTTGCATGACCTAGAATTTAAATGGGGGAGTCCCAGTTTGCGCAAGATGGTAGACCTTTTATAAATTTTCATGGTGAACAGCTGGCGCGATATGGTGCAATCGAGGTGAAATTCCCGTGTTGGAGGTCACAAAGAGAAAGGATGTACTGTCATGCGCCAGGTAACGGTCGTTCCAATATTCTGACCTCGTGGACATGTTGGTCCGGGGGATGTGGCACATCAATGCGGTACGTATGCATTTATAGATCACAGTAGAACACTTACCACTTCGTTAGCAATCAAACACGGTGTCAAACTGACTGACTTGATGGATAACCAATGTAGAAGTATAAAATTATGGCAAAGGGATACATTTTGTTCTATTTAGCAATATGCTCTACAAACATCATATGCTTGGTACTGTGACTATGCTTTGGAACATACTGGTACAGCTTATTTCTCACCTAACGCTAACAAGATATTGACTTTTGTATGAATAAGGTACTCAAAAGATTATCCCCTAGTATGTAAATACGAAATTTGGTAGTAAAATTCACATTCGATTATTTAATGTGCTTGACAGAAACAGAATGTCAAGTCTGAGAAATCAAAACACCGATAAGCTTAAACGACATGTATTAGCATTAATCTCTCAAAAATCCGATGTTTCCGAAAACAGACAGTTGGCTGACACACAAATACAAGCGTCTAATAACTCTGCTTCGTCGATGCAATTTCCACATGACTACACTATTAGTGTCTCGTTTGAGTGTATTTACGTGCCGAGTACGTGACGTCCGTAACCTCTGCTGCAGTAAAGTAGTCCTGCTCCCATGGAACCAGCCCCGGACTCTCGCGAGCAGCAGTGGAGTAAGTGTCGGACTCTCATGTATATTCAAGCAGAAAATAACACGACGAGAACGCGCCTCGCTTGCTGTTTAAAACAGCAATCATGCACTCTTTTAAGTATACACTAAAGAATTGAGTTTGATTTCTATTTGTTGATAAATCATGTCAGTTGATTCTCCTTCCATCGGGTTAAGGGCAAACTTACTTGCCCTGTAACAATTCCTGGGTTTAATGTGTTTCGAAGAGTCCTATTTGTGTATATCGGCACACGACACCCCCTTGCTACACTGTTCTTGTAACGCCACGTAACTACCCGTCACAACACTTAATGTAAACTTCATCATCAAGCCTGGCCAGGTTCACCCAGCCCAGTTGTCATCACGTGAACTTGAATTGAGTCCTCAGGTGCATGACGTCACCGATTGTTTTTAAACATGATATGAATTTAGAATGGCAATGGAATTGAAAGGTTTTGACGAATTCGAACGTGGATGGAACCGCTGTTCCGGCACTTTTCTCCAGGGTTAATAGAAGTATAAAATTATGGCAAAGGGATACATTTTGTTCTATTTAGCAATATGCTCTACAAACATCATATGCTTGGTACTGTGACTATGCTTTGGAACATACTGGTACAGCTTATTTCTCACCTAACGCTAACAAGATATTGACTTTTGTATGAATAAGGTACTCAAAAGATTATCCCCTAGTATGTAAATACGAAATTTGGTAGTAAAATTCACATTCGATTATTTAATGTGCTTGACAGAAACAGAATGTCAAGTCTGAGAAATCAAAACACCGATAAGCTTAAACGACATGTATTAGCATTAATCTCTCAAAAATCCGATGTTTCCGAAAACAGACAGTTGGCTGACACACAAATACAAGCGTCTAATAACTCTGCTTCGTCGATGCAATTTCCACATGACTACACTATTAGTGTCTCGTTTGAGTGTATTTACGTGCCGAGTACGTGACGTCCGTAACCTCTGCTGCAGTAAAGTAGTCCTGCTCCCATGGAACCAGCCCCGGACTCTCGCGAGCAGCAGTGGAGTAAGTGTCGGACTCTCATGTATATTCAAGCAGAAAATAACACGACGAGAACGCGCCTCGCTTGCTGTTTAAAACAGCAATCATGCACTCTTTTAAGTATACACTAAAGAATTGAGTTTGATTTCTATTTGTTGATAAATCATGTCAGTTGATTCTCCTTCCATCGGGTTAAGGGCAAACTTACTTGCCCTGTAACAATTCCTGGGTTTAATGTGTTTCGAAGAGTCCTATTTGTGTATATCGGCACACGACACCCCCTTGCTACACTGTTCTTGTAACGCCACGTAACTACCCGTCACAACACTTAATGTAAACTTCATCATCAAGCCTGGCCAGGTTCACCCAGCCCAGTTGTCATCACGTGAACTTGAATTGAGTCCTCAGGTGCATGACGTCACCGATTGTTTTTAAACATGATATGAATTTAGAATGGCAATGGAATTGAAAGGTTTTGACGAATTCGAACGTGGATGGAACCGCTGTTCCGGCACTTTTCTCCAGGGTTAATAGTTTCTGGGGCATTCCCGACCATGCTGGTATACAAGCAGCTGCTACAATAGTTTTCAGAAGTTCAGCCATTATTTTTACGATAATACAGTAATAAAAATCATTTAATCAGAAGAACAATACACAAGTAATAATGGATTTCTTATTTGTTGCTTTGGTGTTTCGTTGTTTCTCTTAAGGGAATGTGTCCCTGGTGTTCCTGTGGATCTCTCAAGAGGATATATCCCCGTGTTCATGTGGTTCTGTCAAGAGGATATATCCCAGTGATTCTGTGGTTTTCTCAACAGGATATATCCCAGTGTTCCTGTGGTTCTCTCAAGAGGATATATCCCCCGTCTTTCGTTGTTTCTCTCAAGAGGATATATCCTGGTGTTTCGTTGTTCTCTCAAAAGGATATATCCGTCGTGTTCCTGTGTTTCTCTAAAGGGGATATATCCTGGCGTTTCGTTGTTTCTGTCGAGGGGATATATACCTGGTGTTTCGTTGTTTCTCTCAAGAAAATATTTGTCTGGTGTTTTGTTGTTTCTCTCGAGGGGATATATCCCTGTTGTTTCTGTCGAAGGGATATATCCCTGGTGTTTCGTTGTTTCTCTCAAGGGAATATATCTCTGGTGTTTCTGTCAAGGGGATATATCCCTGGTGTTTCGTTGTTTCCCTCAAGGGGATATATCCCTGGTGTTTCGCTGTTTCTCTCGATGCGATATCTCCCTGTTGTTTCGTTGTTTCTCTCAAGGGGATATCTCCCTGTTGTTTCGTTGTTTCTCTCGAGGGGATATATCCCTGGTGTTTCGTTGTTTCTCTCGAGGGGATATATACCTGGTGTTTCGTTGTTTCTCTCAAGGGAATATTTATCTGGTGTTTCGTTGTTTCTCTCAAGGGAATATATCCCTGGTATTCCGTTGTTTCTCTCGAGGGGATATATCCCTGGTGTTTCTGTCAAGGGCATATATCCCTGGTGTTTCGTTGGTTCTCTCAAGGGAATCTATCCCTGTTGTTTCTGTCGAAGGGATATATCCCTGGTGTTTCGTTGTTTCTCAAGGGAATATATCTCTGGTGTTTCGTTGTTTCTCTCGAGGGGATATATCCCTGGTGTTTCGTTGTTTCTCTCAAGGGAATATATCCCTGTTTTTTCTGTCAAGGGGATATATCCCTGGTGTTTCGTTGTTTCCCTCAAGGGGATATATCCCTGGTGTTTCGCTGTTTCTCTCGAGGGGATATATCTCTGGTGTTTCGTTGTTTCTCTCAAGGGAATATATCCTTGTTGTTTCTGTCAAGGGGATATCTCCCTGGTGTTTCGTTGTTTCTCTCAAGGGGATATATCGCTGGTGTTTCGTTGTTTCTCTAGAGGGGATATATCCCTGGTATTCCGTTGTTTCTCTCGAGGGGATATATCCCTGGTATTCCGTTGTTTCTCTCGAGGGGATATATCCCTGGTATTCCGTTGTTTCTCTCAAGGGGATATATCCCTGGTGTTCCGTTGTTTCCCTCAAGGGGATATATACCTGGTGTTTCGTTGTTTCTCCATATTTCTGCCATACCTTAAATACACCTACACATGTACGACAGTATTTACACCAACCGCGGCTTGGGGATCTGTAATTGTAACCTGACACTATACATTCACCCTTCCAGAGGGCATAGCCGCCTGCACGTTTGTGAATAGATTATTCTATGTTCACTGCTGACAAGGTTACTATGAACTAAGACAATGTAGTCATGATGTTCAGTGATAGCATGCCACGTTCCCCTGATTGCTGATGGTAAGCTGTATCGTGACTGTAGTGTTGCCATCATACCATGTTGCACCCCCATCAGATGAAAGAGCTTGCAGACTACAAAAAAACCATCATATAATAGCCTGCACATTAGTTCGCCAATGTAAATTTAACCACTGGGTGTTGTGGTATCAGAAATTTTTCAACGGGCGTGTTCGTAATAGTTACAATTCTCAACTGATTGCTGTGGTTGACTAACGACTGTTTAGTTGCACAACAGCCTAAACCACAAAACTGTAAACTGACATTTATTGCCATGGCAACTGTTTGGTCGCCTAACAGCCTAAACTGTAAACTGACATTTACTGCTATAGCTACAGTTTAGTTACCTAACAGCCTAAACTGTAAACTGTAGACTGACTTTTACTGCCATGGCAACTGTTTAGTTGCCTAACAGTCTCAACTTCAAACTGTAAACTAACTTTTACTGCTGTGGCAACTGTTTAGTTGCCTAACAGTCTAAACTTCAAACTGTAAACTAACTTTTACTGCTGTGGCAACTGTTTAGTTGCCTAACAGTCTCAACTTCAAACTGTAAACTAACTTTTACTGCTGTGGCAACTGTTTAGTTGCCTAACAGTCTAAACTTCAAACTGTAAACTAACTTTTACTGCTGTGGCAACTGTTTAGTTGCCTAACAGTCTAAACTTCAAACTGTATACTGACTTTTACTGCCATGGCAACTGTTTAGTTGCCAAACAGTCTAAACTTCAAACTGTAAACTAACTTTTACTGCTGTGGCAAGCCAACTACTTACATAACTAACATAGACCAAACCATAATGTTCTGAATGCTATATGACATCTACAATGAGTATATGCTGTGTGGTTTAATATATAATGATTTATTATTGAATATTTAATATAGAAAATAAGAGTTACCCCAAAATATTGTGGGGGCACGGGTGGCCCAGTCGTCTAAGGCGCCGCGATTCCCTGTGCAGAGTTGCGTCCCTTGGGCACGCCAGAAACCTATGATTGTGGGTTCGAATCCCGGTTCGCCCCGATTATGTTTCTAGGTTTGTCAGCACCATACCCGTGCTCGTGGGTTTCACCGAAGTGGTAAACGTCTGAGACCTGCATCACTTCGGGCTTTCCTCCCACATAAAGCTGACACGCCGCGATATAACTGGAATAATGTTAAAAGCGGCGTTAAACCCAACTCACTCACCCAAAATATTGTATATTTACCAGCATCATAACAGAAACATTGAACTGTAGGTATGAAGTACAAACCAGCTTTACCTATACAATTGAGTGTCGCATGCTGGTTCAAATAACGCATTACTTCAACGTGGTATTTTTTTCGCGCATACCTCTACCAGAATGTGTGTGTAGGAGAAGGCGCGGTTCAGTTTCACTACCAGTATTGATGATTGTGCTGAATTCTCTCAATCTGCAACCACTTCAGTGGTAGTGCTGTCAATACCTACTTTGTGATGCTTGTTGAAGAAGGGAGGTGAATGTTTGAGTCATTTATCAGTGAGAGAGTCTTTGTCAGGAGGGACTTCCTCTTTGGTAATATATACTTCCATTGTCCTCTTTGATGAAATAGTTCTCTGTTTACACACGCTCATTGACAAATTATTTAACTATTAAGAGAAAAGGGAGGACATGAACTTGGAGCATTTCTGTCTAACAAAAAACTTAGTATGTAGGTGCTTATAAGAAACAATTTCTCTGCTAAACCGTGTATGTTTAGATTGTGCCGATACTGAATTCGGTTTAATTGCTATGAATAGGATCTATTCTTTTTTATGGTGTTTTGGTAATTAAAAGACACAGATCATCTTCAAGACCTTCAAACTACTACCCGTGTTCAGTAAGCTGACATATAAACCGTTCTCAACATCCATGAATTTGTAGCAGGTCCATCATACGTTTAGTAGGGTTTAAATGATTACTCGGCCTTTAACCGGGGCGTTTCCATGAGAAGCTAAATCATGTTATAATGGTCCACCCAACTGATGGCTGTGGTATATCCCCGATAAAAGCCGCATACTCTGTAATCAGTACCCCATTTAGACAAGTGCTCCGGATAAACGGAAAATACGGATAAACTTTACATACTGAAACCTACTGTAACAAATCTAATAGAGAAACATCAGGGTTCATAATTAGCGCTTTATTCTTTCAAGGACAGTGACTCACTTTGATGAATTTCAAGCGAGATCAGCAAACATAGTTTGTTAATGTTTTATAATAAAAAATATTGATTATATAGCCGTTTAGTATCAATAGTATCAAATATAACAAATACTTTATTGAAGTGACGATAACACCAGCCATAACACCTTGCCAGACGAGGTATAGGTTATACACGGTATACAATAATGCTCCCCGCAGGCCAGCGCTATGCTCTCTTATTGCTTGGCTTACTCTGATGGTAAGCCAATCATCAGGCAGTCAGCGGAAGTGTCCCGTGCTGCATGCTATTTTCAAACAGTATACACACAGAAACCTAATTGTCGAGATACAGTTCCCATATTTGAGTGCATCGGGCCCATTTCACTCAGGTAGACGCGTCTATCTGTGACAGTCATGCTGGGAATCTATTTCAGTTTTATACACCGAAAAACATTACAAACTGATGATAACACGTTCCGGAAGTTTGGAGAGCTGAAGGTGTGGAGATGATCTTACATGAACCACCATTGGTGAGAAGAGTTTGTGTACACCACGACTGTGCCGTTCCCATCCTACTGAGGGGAACCGGTAGATATACACATCTTACTTGCTGTTTCTGAAAAAAACACAATGGACATTCTCTGACATAACTATTTCCAAAACAATAAACCGTCCAAGGCATCGTCAAATAGTATTTAGTAATATGACAGTGTTAATATTTGTATTTATCTCGTATAGAGACACTGACAAACATGGAAATGTGGATGATGACAGAGAATATATTACAATGTAAAGGGGTGATGTATGGTAGAAGGCACAGTGTGAGTAACGAGGTGACAAAAGACATGTTTCTTGTAGCAGGGAATCTGTTTATATACTGTCAACACTCTACACTATCATGATGTGTGCTTCAATAATCTGTAGTTTATGTGTAGCCCGTGTGTATCTTGTGTGACAACCTCCAACAGAGAGCAGTTTCACAACATGTAATGTAGCCCACAGTCCCACACCTCATCACAATCTGATTCCAGTTAGTTGATCTTATATAACCTGATCGATAATACCAGAAACTTGAGACACATCTCAAGGACTTCACTGATGGCCAAAGTGTCTGTCAGTCTGTTATTGTTAAGAATGTGTGTGTCTCTCCTCCACTAAATCTATGTTGCCTTGTTCATACGTAGATCGATGCCATGTGTTTGGTAGTCGGGATACCGTACATGACAAGACGTCCTTCAGGCCAATGCGAAGACAATCCTCTACACAAGGTAATGTATAAGGGATATAGTTACAGATTATGGACCAAATGTCCCTGAGGGAAGATGATAACATTTTTTCAAGTAAGTGAAATGGCTGAGAGACATTATGTGCCACTCGTGTGAGCTGTATTCACGAGTATAACACATCCACAATACAGTGTGATCACACGTGGTAGACTTGCACTTACGAGTACATCCAGTATGTTGATGTATGCCATCTATATGACATGGTTGGTTATACTACACATTATTCCATTTGATGGTGGCTTCCATAACAAGCCGGTCGCAATGTAAACTGATATCAGGAACAACTCTTACAGTAGTGCTGCGTGTATGTTTTATAATCTTAACTTTCATAACACCATAGTTTGTTACAGCTTCCAGACGTCGTGTCCAGAACAATAGCTCCATTTTGTAACTAAGATTCCATGTATGATATGCTTTCATAGATTGAATTTCAACTATGGGTCAATTAAAAAGTGAAAACGGTGTCTCTGACAGAAAGTAAAATAATTGGCAATGAGCCACGTGAAGTGATTGTGTTCACGATGACGTATGCCCCATCTTCCGGTCGTGTGTTTACTGGGGGGTGTAATCATTGATCAGTTAGCTGATAGAATCAGGACAGGTTGTTCGACCAATGTCAGCATTTCAGCTGCTCGGTGATTAACACGGTCCATAATTTGTAACAGATACATATATGATCTTTTGAGTTGTATTTTGTCAAGCCATTAATACACACAATCTAATCACAGATATACTACGAAAAAAGGAATCGGGCATTTCATTTTCGCGCTGCTTGGGGCAACTTTACATTTTGCAACCGGATGGATAGCGCTTTTGTCTGATTATGTGTTCGTCTTCCCATTATTTAAGGCGCTTAATCATCACAAGTGATAGGATACGAGATGTTAAAGAATGCCAAGGAATGACGTGTGTTGAAATGGCTTTTGTAAGTAAGTATGTTCTTGCTTTCAAACTTATTTTACACAAGGCACATGGAATGAGGCGTGTTGACACGCTAAGGAAATATGCTCTGGCATAAGGGTGAGATGTGTTGACATGCTGTCAAATACATGACTTTGTATGTTCTGGCGTTAAACCTTATTTTACACAAGGCAGATGGGATTAGCTGTGTTGACCGTTGTGCTTGTGTATATGTTCTAAGACTTGTATTCACTCAGTTTTGTCTTTTTCTGAAAAGGAGATGTGTGATGAAAACTTATCAATGATTTCTACAATCTCTGATCAGTATAAAATGTTTTAATTGTTTAAAATCTTCTGTCTCTTCAGTTTCCACAACTATCCCTCATGTTGAAATAGAAATTCTATTCTGTTTTCGAGGGGTTTTGTTGTTGCTTAGAAAGAGTTCGGAAATTTAATTCCATTACAATGTCAATGAATGTTGTCAATTTGTTGAGATTGAATATAACTCAATTCACATATTTCACATATCCAAATATGCGAGTTGTGTCTTGAGTGCTGTCAAATATATGGACTGCTACTACGGACATCCCCGTGCCGGATGTCTTTCGGTAAAAATTAAACTATCTAATTGGCTAAAATACACCAGCTTCAACAAGCCTGTGAAAGCTGCAACAAATTAACTGATAAAAAAGCATTGTGTCATCAGCAGATGACAGCACAAATGATGCAAGAGTGTTAGATGTCAGAGGATGTATATGCTTCAGTCAGGGTATTAGATGTCAGAGGATGTATATGCTTCAGTCAGGGTATTAGATGTCAGAGGATGTATATGCTTCAGTCAGGGTAATCGATGTCAGGATATACACACTTCAGTCAGGGTAGTAGATGTCAGAGGATGTATATGCTTTAGTCAGGGTATTAGATGTCAGAGGATGTATTTCCTTCAGTCAGGGTATTAGATGTCAGAGCATGTATATGCTTCAGTCAGGGTATTAGATGTCAGAGGATGTATATACTTCAGTCAGGGTATTAGATGTCAGAGGATTTATATGCTTCAGGCAGGGTTCAAGATGTCAGAGGAAGGATATGCTTCAGTCAGGGTATAAGATCTCACAGGATGTATATGTTTCAATCAGAGTATTAGATGTTAGAGGATGTATATGCTTCAGTGAGATTATTAGATGTCGGATGATCTATATATTTCAGTCATAGAATTAGATGGCAGAGCATGTATATGCTTTAGTCAGTATATTAGATGTCAGAGGATGTATATGCTTCAGGCAGGGTATTAGATGTCAGAAGATGTATATACTTCAATCAGGGTATAAGATGTCAGAGGATGTGTATACTTCAGTCAGGGTATAAGATGTCAGGCGATGTATCTGCTTTAGTCAAGTTTAGATGTCAGAGGATGTATATGCTTCAATCAGGGTACAAGATGTCAGAGGATATATGCACTTCAGTAAGGGTATTAGATGTCAGGGAATGTATATGCTTTAGTCAGGGTATTAGATATCAGATGATGTATATACTTTAATTAGAGTACATGATGTCAGAGGATATATACTTCAGTCAGGGTCTTAGATGTCAAGGGGTGTATATAATTCAGTCATGGTATAAGATGTCAGAGGATGTATATGCTTCAGTCAGGGCATTAGATAGCAGAGGATGTATATACTTCAGTCAGGGTATTAGATATAAGAGGATGTATATGCTTCAGTCAGGGTATTATATGTCAGAGGATATAAATACTTCTGTCAGGGTTTTAGCTGTCAGAGGATGTGTATACTTCAGTCAGGGTATTAAATATCACAGGATATTTACACTTCATTCGGGATATTATATGTCAGGAAATGCATATCCTTCAGTCAGGGTATTAGATGTCAGAGGATGTATATACTTCAGTCACGGTTCAAGATGTCTGAGTATATAAACTTCATTCACGGTATTAGATGTCAGAGGATGAATATGCTTCAGTCGAGATATTAGATTTAAGAGGATGTACATACTACAGTCAGGGTATTAGATGTCAGAGAATGTATATACTTCGGTCAGGGTATTAGATATCAGAGGATGTATATACTTTAGTCAGGGTATTGGATATCAGAGGATGTATATACTTCAGTCAGGGTATTATATATCAGAAGATGTATATACTTCAGTCAGGATATTAGATATACGAGGATGTATATGCTTCAGTCAGGATATTAGATATACGAGGATGTATATGCTTCAGTCAGGGTATTATATGTCAGAGGATATAAATACTTCAGTCGGGGTTTCAAATGTCAGAGGATATTTACACTTCAGTCGGGGTACTAGATGTCAGGGAATGGATATCCTTCAGTCAGGGTAAAAGATGTCAGAGAATGTATATGCTTCAGTCAGAGTATTATATGTAAGAGGATGTATATACGTCAGTCGATGTATTAGATGTCATAGAATGTATATACTTCAGTCAGGGTTTTAGGTGTCAAAGGATGTATATACTACAGTCAAAGTATTAGATGTCAGGGGATGTATATACTTCAGTCAGGGTATTAGATGTCAGAAGATGTATATACGTCAGTCGATGTATTAGATGTCATAGAATGTATATACTTCAGTCAGGGTTTTAGGTGTCAAAGGATGTATAAACTTCAGCCAGGGTATTAGATGTCAGAGGATGTATATACTTTAGTCAAGGTATTAGATGTCACAGGATGTATATGCTTCAGGCAGAGTATTAGATGTCAGAGGATGTATATGCTTCAGTCAGGGAATTAGATGTCAGGGGATGTACATGTACATGCTTCAGTCAAGGTATTAGATGTCAGAGGATGTGTATACTTCAATCGGGGTATTAGATGTCAGGGGATGTATATGCTTCAGTCAAAGTATTAGATGTCAGAGGATGTGTATACTTGAAACGGGGTATTAGATGTCAGGCGATGTGTATACTTCCATCAGGGTACAAGATGTCAGAGGATATATAAACTTCAGACAGGGTATTAGATGTAAGGGGATGTATATGCTTCAGTCAGGTTACAAGATGTCTGAGTATATATACTTCACTCGAGGTATTAGATGTCAGAGGATGTATATGCTTCATCAAGGTATTAGATGTCAGAGGATGTATATGCTTCAGTCAAGGTATTAGATGTCAGAGGATGTTATATGTTTCAATCAGGGTACAGCATGTCAGAGGATATATATACTTTAGTCAGTGTACAATATGTCATACGATGTATATACTTCAGTCAGGGTACAAGATGTCAGAGTATATATACTTCAGTCAAGGTATTAGATGTCAGGGGATGTATATGTTTTAGTCAGGGCATTAGATGTCAGAGGATGTATATATTTCAATCAGGGTATTATATGTCAGAGGATGTATATCCTTCAGTCAGGGTACAAGATGTCAGAGGATATATATACTTCAGTCAGCGTACAAGATGTCAGAGGATATATATACTTCAGTCAGCGTACAAGATGTCTGAGTATGTAAACTTCATTCAAGGTATTAGATGTCAGAGGATGTATATGCTTCAGTCAGGGTATTAGATTTCAGAGGATGTATATACTACAGTCAAGGTATTAGATGTCAGGGGATGTATATACTTCAGTCAGGGTATTAGATGTCAGAGGATGTATATCCTTCAGTCGATATATTAGATGTCACAGAATGTATATACTTCAGTCAGGGTTTTAGATGTCAGAGCATGTATATGCTTTAGTCAGGGTATTAGATGTCACAAAATGTATATACTTCAGTCAGGGTATTAGATGTCAGAGCATGTATATGCTTTAGTCAGGGTATTAGATGTCAGGCGATGTGTATGCTTCAGTCAGGGTATTAGATGTCACAGGATGTATATGATTCAGTCAGAGTATTAGATGTCAGAGGATGTATATGCTTCAGTCAGGGAATTAGATGTCAGGGGATGTACATGTACATGCTTCAGTCAAGGTATTAGATGTCAGAGGATGTGTATACTTCAATCGGGGTATTAGATGTCAGGGGATGTATATGCTTCAGTCAAGGTATTAGATGTCAGAGGATGTGTATACTTGAAACGGGGTATTAGATGTCAGGCGATGTG